AATATCTATGGGTTTCGTTTTGAGTAAAGAGACTGAATTGGGTAAAGAGACGACAGCTTATCCATTTGACAGGTCTTCTGCTCGATTGGAATAACTTTTCGTGTGGTGACTTTGACAGATAATCGATTAATCAATTTTGATATGTCGTCTCTTTATAAATTCAGCCTCTTTAGTTTTGAGTATGGTTGTGATCTCAAGGGAAACATGTCAGGCACCATCTGAAAGACCAAACATTACTCTACAGGTAGTTAGTTTGTGTAGGTGTGTTGTCATTCGTGGGAAATCGACGATCCAATTAATTGTATACGTTTCTAGTTGGTCCCTTCTGACTTGCTTCCCGCATAAACGCGAACCATCACATGACCTTACCGATAATGGTTATAAATTGTTTATAATCCCTGCTAAACTTCAACTGAAATGGTTATGGAACTTTACATGAACGTTTGTGTGATAAAGTTTTAACCTTATGTATTATGGTTTTTTGGAAGCGGACCTTACAAATAATGGGTTGTTAAGAACCATTACCATTCCAAATTCTTGTTTTCTCCATACATTTTTGGAAAGAGAACTATATTAGAACGTTTTTACTTATGGTTTGAGAACATTAATGGTTATGGTTATGGTAGTCAGTAAGGTCCATTAATGGTTTTGTATTATCGCTCAACTTTACGTGAAATATATCGTGAATTGGTAATCAGTAATTTACAGGCAACCAATTCGCGATATATTCCACATAAAGTTGATCGATGTTACAAAACCATTCATGGACCTTACTGGTTACCATAACCATTACCATTAATGTTCTCAAACCATAAATTAAAAGGTTTTAGTATAGTTTTCTTTCCGAAAATGTATGGAGAAAACAAGAATTTTGAATGGTAATGGTTCTTAACAATCCATTATTTGTAAAGTCCACTTCCAAAAAACTATAATACTTAAGGTTAAAACTTTATCATTAAACGTTCATGTAAAGTTCCATAACCATTTCAGTTGAAGTTTAGCAGGGATTATAAACAATTTATAACCATTATCGGTAAGGTCAATTTATGGTTCGCGTTTATGCGGGTTTCCCTGAACTGTATAAAATAAATCCATCCTCAGTATTCTCCATTCACTCTATTCAAAGTGGAATAGATCATTGATCATTGCATAAACTTTGACAGTTCTGACGGGTTTGTTTTAGATCCCATTCGTTGCCATCTCTATACGTGAAGTCCAATTGGGTTGATTAATTTCATAAAACATACCGGTTTTTATACAATCATCTGAAAGAGCTTCGTTTTCTAAACCCAACGATATTTGCATCGATCCCACTCATCTTGATTTTTAAATAAAGATTTATTTTTTTTCATTTTTTGAGACTGAATCTATTAGTTGACATTTCTCTCTCATACCAAGTCCCAGTGAGGGGCGCTAAGATGATGGCTTGCGCTAATGCAATCGCACTTATTTAAAATAGTTCTTCCAGTGTACCAAAATTTAAGGAATTAAAAAAAAAAAATAAAAATGTAATGAGAATTTGTAATATTTGTTGTTAAGATAATTCAACAAAATCACTGATATAATTATTTACCACCGCTGTTAATTTGCTTTCTCGCTAGAAGTCATTTCAAATTGATGCAGAATTTCACTGTTGCCAAGTAAAAGGGAAGGTAACCTTTCGAAAACCGTGATGCGAGTTACACTGTTTTTATCTTGACTCTAGATTTTCTTAAGTTTCGAGGGATGCTACAATTACTTTGGGCCCGAAGGTCTGGTTTATGGTGGTATATACATGGTGATACAACTTTGGACGGGGAGATCGCGGCGGAGAGTGCGGTTTTAGAGCAAGTTGTAAACAAACTCGGTCGCTGTCCCATACAAAAATTTGACACATTAGAACACTTATAGACTTCTCTGACGTTTGTGAATTGCACAAGTATTAGTGCAGAACTTTGGGTAAATTCAAAGGTTTTCTTGCACTAATACTTATAATTTACACAAAGTTCCACACTAATACTTGTGCATTTCACTAACGTCAGAGAAGTATGTATGTAGTCACCTTGGTCTGGTTCTTTCTGAGCCAAAAGAATGATCATTTTTCTTCGTAACCCTCTGGTCTTAGTGTTAGTCGAGGAGTAAGTCTATAGTTAAAGCACAGACAAACAGACATAACACTGGCAATTTGTTCATCGAACACGCATTTATCGGTCAATTTAAATGTTTTTAGTTGGTAGTTCCACCGAGGGGGACGACTCTATCTACGATGCAGAAAATATTGTGCTATGCTGTGGCTAGCTGCGCGCCCGCTGAGTAGATAGAAAGAAGATTGATGACGATTCTAAAGATTTCCTGCAAAAAGATGATGCTCGATGCAAGTAGATGCAACAAATGAAAGAAGATTTTTCGAAGATTGATTCACTAGTGTGAGATTTGTTGAGCATCTTAACTTGAGATTTAGATGTGTCGCCCCCCTCGAGTTCCACCAACAATCAATACGAAACTAACGATTTAAAATTGGCTCACTACTTGACTAGCCTATTGGTCCCAAGCAAACGATTAACGTACCCCATTCTAGTCGAAATTCTAGTACTACTCAATGTTTGTTTTGATTTGCTATGAAAGTTTGACAGATAAAATGAGGGGTTATTGGTTTTTCCTATGTTTCGAGGGGTGAATCGTTTAGCTTGGGACCGAAGAGAGTACCAGAGCTGAGCCAAAAAGATGAGCACGCTTCTGCGGTACCTTCTGGTCTTAGAGATACCTCTATGGTTCCACCACCTGTGGCGCGCATAGTCAATAACCCTTGCGTTTGACGTTTACACACTACCGCCATCTGCTCAGGGTACTACCCGTCACAGTATACTCAACAGATGGCGATAGCGACGATGTTTTACATTGAAAATATTCAATGTGTTTTGTCTGTTTGTCTGTGGTTATAGCTCCCTGATGTATGGGCAGTCCTATATGATGTCATTTTTTGCATATAAATGAACCGATCCCCATCCTCACCTCTGTGTCACGCTCTCCTCTCAAAGACTTCCGAACTTTCTGTAGTTTTAAACGTTATAAATTACAATTACAAATTATTGAAGTCTTGTATTCCATCATTACCATATTACCAAGATTGTTAAGAGCTGAGCACAATGCATCCGGATTCGAACGTATTAAATTCGGATGCATTGTGAGCCGTTCTTATCATTGTAGTAAAGCTGTCACTTTGCTGCATCGTTTCAAACCGCACTGCATTTTCAAACTTTTCATTACACTTTCTGAGTTCTGAAACTAGTTTTGAAATTTGTCTAATTTATGGCTTGTTCCGACTGCAGAGTTATAAAAACCGGTGGAAACTAACGATTTTAAATAGGCCACTGCTTGACGACTAGCCTATTGGTTCCAAGCAAATCGTTTAACGTACCCCATTCTAGTCGAAATTCTAGAACAAAACTATGTTTGTTTTGATTAGCTATGAAAGTTTGACAGATAAAATGAGGGTGTTTGTGCAACGTCATCTACATGTACAACTACCCTACCCACTACTATTCAAACGAACACAAATTAACAATATACGTTGATTTTTCTAGGGGGTGCATCGATTAGCATGGGACGGATGAGAGTACCAGCACAAACGTGAACTGTGCTGAGCCAAAAAGTTGAGCACGTTTCTTCGGGACCTTCTAGTCTTAGAGTTACCTCTATGGTTATAACATGTCATAATAATGAAAAATATCATCAAGATATGCTTATAACATGTTATAACCAAAGACGAACAGCTCAATCTGGCCAGTGTTAGGAATTTACTAGATCCTTCCCACACAGGTTTCGTACCGTACAAGGACTCAATGTATCCTAATTAGTTACTTCACTTAACTGTTTCTGCCTCCCCCTAATAAACAAATACCATAAACGAACGGTAATGGGCCGTATGAATAAAAAGAGTTTACTTTACTTTCCCGTGCATTTCTTACGGGAAAAGTAAAGGAAACGCTTTTATTCATACGACCTAATGATAGAACTATCCCACAAATGGTTTAGATGATACTCCGAACACGTCGTTAAGCTCATTTTTATGGTAATTTTTATTAGTGCCCTCTTGCATGTTTCATCAGCTGTTTCAATAAAAAAAAAATGTACAACTTTTTTCACTGAAATCGTTGCACAAGTTGAAAATACTTTTACGCGCCCCTCGGTGATTGTTTACTAATGGACTTCCCAGTACAAATTTTAGTATCTATGTTCACAAATTTAGGCACAAATGAGATTGTTCTAGTGCATTGTAGCTTGGATGATGAAGGCAAGAATTTTACAAAAATTGCATGAGCAAAAAACAATTCTAGCTTTTATGTTTACAAAGGGCACTTGGTTTGGTACCGAATTGTTCAGAATAGTACAAAGATAGACAATCTTCTGCTTTGTCCAGTAAATGTTACAAAATGTACACATTTTTCTAGACATTCCCCTCTGTTTTCAGGTTGTATGATGAATCATCACCGAACTCTGTAGATTTGTATGTAAAAATACAGTATTTAAGGTTATATTTCCCGAGCACATGCGATTACTTTTCTCAACCTCACGATTTTGACCTCAAATATCTCCCGAACGACAGCGAATTTTTCTACGAATCCAACGGCAAAATAAAGATCAAGAGTTAGCAATGCAGGTTTCCCCAACTCCATATCTAACTATTGAAACAATCGGGAGTAATTACCGAAAAACCTTATTTTTGACAGTTGCCACCAGTGCGCTGGCGTCATGGTGCCTTTGCTACGTCAATAAGCCGAGGCATAAACAACAAAATGGCGCCAAGCTCGTCACGGATGTCAAGGGCAGAGACGCAGTCGTGCACCAACACAGTAGCATGAATACGTAGCACACAAGTGTGTGCTGTCTCACTCGGACAACGTTTGTGAAGATCTTCCGTCGCATTCTCGCTGAGCCTGATTGGTCGACCGATGCTTACGCCACCTAGTTTACTGACAGAGGTAACGGTGTGTTGGTGCGCTCATTTACCATGATGCGGGACTTGCCTGTCGGAAAATTTTCACCGCTCGGTCAAATCTATCGCAGTGTTTGGACGCGTCGGTCGTACGTTCGATGCTCTCGCTGGGTGAAGAGTTTTTTTTTCTCAAGCTGTGCAGCAGTGCCAGACAGCAGAAAATTTCTACTATATCGACGCCATATTGGAAGTGCACACAGGCAGTGGTAGGACAGCACTTGGATCTATTATTGCCGTTCGTTGCGGTCCGTGTGTGCGAAATTAGGAGTAATTAGGGAGCATCAAAGAAGGCGATGCAAGTGCAAGTGAACCGGCTGAGGTTGAAGTGTCAAAAAGTTGATCCATAATTGATTGGTCTTAGAGGGACAATTTTGATTTCGCGAAGTGAGTAGTGGTGGAGGAAACTTTTTCAATAGTGACAAGTGAGGTGAAGTTGAGTTCGATCGTAGATTGCCACTGCTAGGAAAAACGCCAACAACCATGTCAGACGAGTTCTACGATGAAGACGGTGAGTGTTTTTTTTTGTTGTGGTGCTCTTTGCGTGATGTTTGTGGGATTATCATTTTTTTTTTTATCCAGCCGGCATTTCACAAAAGGTCTCCCGCCAAATTGAAGATTTGTTAATAGTATTTTTATTTTATTACCGTACAATTATGACATTGACCAATACCGATAGTTGTTAGATTTGATTAGCATAATTCCATGCCTTCTGGGATGGGAGACTATCAAAAGTTGTGGTCTTTTTACAGTTATCAAGTGAAAGTCAGCAAAAAAAAAAAAAACAGAATGCCTTGCGTGTGAGGTGTAAAAATAGGGTACGGGTACACATGGGCAGACAGGTACCAGTCGTCGGAGTTTTTTGTTGTTTTTATTTTATCGAAGGAAAGGAACTGAGTAGAACCGAACTGGCAGAGTGCTATTTAGCAAATAATAATTTGACTGAAATGTAATTTAGAATTATGATATCTAAAATAATGAATTTGGTTTAATTGAATGCAAAACAATGCCAGTGGATCGATTTTCTTAAACGATTTTCTTTTTTTTTTTTTTTATTAAAACAGTTGTGGGGGAGCTATGGGCAAGACGAACGGTTTATTGTTTGACGACTCAACTATTGATTTTTTTTTTTCCAATCTTGTCGTTCATGATTTTTGATGCATTTCAGACTACACAAGGTACACAACTTGTTACGGGAGCTGTCAAGTATGAAAATATAAACAAAACAAACAAAAACGTGCTCTCGCGGCGATGTGATGCAAATTTGTATGTGAAAATTCTTAAACTGTACAGCACCAAAACAGTAAAATTGTTCACTTCAAAATTATTTGTTGATATTAGTAATTACATTTTGTTTTTTACGCAGCCGTGTAGAGACGTTCCCTTAACTAGTTTACCATCGGGATAAGATGGACAATGGCTAGGGGCATCCCACTCTAAACTTTATATTTCTCGCGTTATACTCAGAAAGTTTTTACAAATACCTAAGATACCCGGAAATACTTAAAAATACTTAACCTATATTTTGCATTAGGTTGTTACCACCGTTGCTAAACACATTTTAGTTGTTTATTTATCGGATGTCGTCAAGGATTTTGTGTGAATATTTGAAAACTGCAGTATTAATATTTTAAGCTTTAACAGCTATTTTAAATGTTTCTTTTTGTTTTGTAGGCATCAAGATATGGTCTTGGAATAAGAGAAGATCATTGCAAAAATGATTCACCTATAAATTAATGTCGTCAACGGTGGAAAAAAACTGCCGCTGATTATTTCTCCAATGTAGAAAGCGATTCCATCATTTTCGCATTAAACCTGCACTATTAATTATGTCACACTTTGATGCGCATTTAGGATGATTCGTTCGACATGTTACAGCAAGAAGTCAGATTGACAATCATGGAACCTTTCCCTTCGTTGTTTGTTTGGTTTTATCGATCGTTGCATTATAAGCTTAAGTACTTTTCGACCGTTATAATTAGGCCATGTAACACTAACTTAAGACTCTTAGGGCTATCGAATCTGAACAAGAAGTTGTGAAAGTTTTCCAAACCATTCGCATTGTACTTGTTGCCGAGCTTGTGGCATCTGTTTCATCTTGTAGCTTCCCACCGAACGTGTTTATTCTGCCGTAAAGTGCCTGTTTTGAAAATTTCAAAAATAAATTGAAATATAATTTGAATTGAATTGAACATGATGGTAGGTATTAGGCACTTGTGCATGGTAAAAATATAAATTAAGATAAAACTGTAAAACACTTCAACATTTTGGCGAAATGCGCAGAATTAGGTCCTGCGCAGAATTATGGCGCACATAGTAAACATGTTGTAAATATGAACTACATTTTCGGATTTGGAACCGTCAATTCTCATCTGTTAAACCATTATTAGAGCTGGACATGATTGATAAGCCATATCTGCTATGTGTTGAAGTAGAATTCGTTTTTTCATTGATTCTATTAACTAACAGCAACGATTGTAAAACTTAAATTTAATCAATTTATTTCAACACATGACATGTGAATAAATAAGTATCGAGTATTCAAACTTTTGAATAAAAAAAAAACCAATCAACTTCTTTAACATGTCACGTTCTGGAAAGATCGAACAGTATAAGTTATAAATTGGTGGCGCAAGTGGGTAATTGTTGTCTACCCACTAAAATTTATTAAACTGGATTTTTGTTTCGTAATGGGTTGGGCATTTACCCACTTGTCCCACCACTTTTCATTTACCCCAATGTACCTTTCATTTTTAACTACCGCTTCGATTCAACCGGGATAATCTATTTGCCACTACGGATCAGAATGATAGCGATGCAAGTGTTTTTGAAATCCTCAATCACCAGCACCTTGTCGTTGGTGGTTCCAATTACTTAAACTGGGAAATTTATGTTCAAATGAAAACATCGACTGCAAAATGTCAATTAAACTACTTCACCAGTCTAAAGTATCACTGTTTTCCAACCCGAAAAGCGTAATGCAATCAGCACAATTTCCTACTGTAAAAGGTTCGTTTCATCGTCGTAGTTCGACAGGAAATGCGCAGCGTAACCCTGATATCGTTGACTTGCATAGGTATAGCCAAGATTTTTTTTTTCTTCTCCATACCTTATTCCTTGTTCCTTATTTTCTTAGGAATCTGGAACAGCTCTGTAAAGGAGTCCAAATTCATGATAGCGCACTGGAAAGTCTGCTCGAAACTAGAGAGGTTCTAGAACCTCTCTGCTCTAAAGCATCAGTAATTTGAATAACACGATTTTTTACACTATTAGATAAGCATAATTGAAATACATATACCAATTATCATGATTTTATTGCAATTAAAATAGAATAAAACAGGAATTAATTTCATTTCATAAGTGACGAAAACTATAAAATTGACGGGGCTTACAACAACAACCAACGACACTAGCAACCGGTAACTACGATGGAAATTATTCAAGTTTAAAATACTTAAAAATATTTAAGAATACCTATGAGAGATTTAAACGTATTTAATGTATACTAGTACTAAAGTTTAGAGTGGGATACCCCTAGGACAATGGCAATAATTCAGTGCCAACATTTCAAAGGGGCGTAGTTGCATTTGTAAACAATGGCTTTAGCCGTCAATTTCTCGCAAATAAAAGCTCACTCATGAAAATTAATTACACCAACAGGTATAAGAATGTTTCCTCTACCAGCTAGCATTGTTAATTTGGAGAAGTGAGCTTTTATTTACGCTAAAGCCATTGTTTACAAAAGCAATTACGCCTCTTTGAAATGTTGGCACTGAATTCATAAGAAAAAGATTTCAAGCTTCGGATTTATTTAATATTGTAGATGTTTTGAATATATATGAGCACCGTCACCGCTAATTATCTAGTTCTTCAATGCTCATGTGACTTTATGTATCACATGGTGAGTACCTCCTTCCTAGGGCCCGTCTCGAATGAACTAAATTCTCCTCTTGTAGGGGAACAGTTTAAAGAGACGTTAATAGACGTATCCTTCCTCGGGATTCATATTCAGATGTGGGAAATGCGCTCTTGAGTCCTCATTATGGCCTACAATAATCACAGAATCAGTTCAATTGCTTTATAATAGAAATATTGAATATCAAAATCTGTCTGTCTTAGCACCTGTCCGTTGCACCCGAACCAAAACAAAAAAAGTTGTGCATCTTTTGATAATTTTAGATTTTCAAAACAAAAGCGTTATTTATTGAGATTTAATAAAAGTTTGTATACTTTTTTTTTTTATTAAAGAGATTTTTAGCCATAGGCTAGTTCATCTCTTACAAAAGTTTGTATACGTAGTTTTTTAGGCATGAGTTTATCCTGCAGAATTCTGATATTACCAGCAAAATACGGTATTTATTGGCGATATAACAATAACAATTCCTCTTCTACACACGATTCCGGCTTACTTTGTTGTTTCAGGTGGTTGAAAAAAGCCGAAAACGTTATTTTGGGTCATGTTTAAATTCAAATCAGATTCAAAAGGCAGAGGGTCTTCTAGTTCCGCTGATTTGTATCAATTGGAACCAATCTTGTTTTGTTTGTTTACGTTTCGAGAGTTGTTGAACAGGTAGTTTGAGGTTAGGGTGACGCCACTGGTTAACATGCCCTTTAACCTTCTGCAAATTTCGATGTCATTAAAAAAAACTTAATTGGAATTCTTGGGTTTGAAAACAACTTTAAAACTTCCAGGTACAGGTATTCGTATTGAGCTCGCCAAGCAAAATTTCATGAATACTAATGCAGCGTGTAAATTCGTACGATTGTGACAGATCTTACAGCAATACATATGCAGTTTTTATACAATACATATGCCGTGACATATTCCACCCGATAAGGCTATTCTACATATTTTTCTTCTTTGAATAATAATTTTGATTTGATGATTTTTCAAAAGGACGTCTAAATATTTTTTTCCGTTTACTTAATACTTAAGTGCAAGGAATCAAAAATATCTCCAAATGGCAAAATGACAAGCGATTATCGAGCCGAATGCTAAGCTTTGTCAGAAATGCAAAGCAATAATGATGTAACCTTTTTCCTTTTTGTCGTAACAAAGTGCCTTTGGAATATAGCTCGCTCGGGCCGGTAGAAGGAAACGACAAAATTGTTGGCAAATTGCTACACGAAGTAAAGCCGAAGATGCTACTCGTGTGTTAATGTGATTTTTTGTTATGTATTTTCTCGGTTTCGATCAAGCTATGCCGTAACCCATGTATATTGCAATTTTTTTTAAATAACTTTATTATTGAGATTTTTAACTCTTTTAGTTTATCTCATAATATTGCAACAAAGCAGGCAAGCAATATATCATTATCCTTCTACAACTCCGATCAAGTTATATTACAGAGAGAGTTTATCGTGGTAGCAAGCGTTTTGTCTTTATTGTTGGTTGCTTTATGTGTTTGAATGTGTTTTCATGGGACCAACGGCCGGCGGCGCCGACTGGGATTGAACCAAGGCCTGCTGGAGTCAGATGTTAGGTTACGATTGTGCAGGGAATTATTTGAT